TTCTACAAAATGGAACAAAAACAACAAAACTATTGCACTAAAAGTACTTAGGTTCAGCGGCCAAAAACCAAAGACCAAGAAAAATATTTAACCAGTGGGAAATGAAAGAAGGTTAGAAAAAACAACAGCATTGTAGAGAGGGGAAAACGAAGGAAGGGTAAAAGTCCAAATAAACATTAAGAGAAGTTCTACTGTTTTTGTCCAACTGTTTGGCCCCCCATTTGAATGCCTTCTTGTGTTTTAGTGGTGACATTTATGATTTGGAACATTTCTGATGGTGTGTATATGTGTGTGTGTGCATTGTTTTTATCTTGTTTTGTCCTTGTGGCTGTTGTTCTTCTTCTTGCTGTCTTTGGCAGCTGAAAAACATGAAAAACGTCAACATTTACAAGAAAAAGCAATCATCATAATAAAGCCGGATTTGTAAAGGGGGTTTGAAGTGGTGCGAAATATAATTTAAAAGTGTAGTGGTGTCAAATTGCACAATTGATCTTTGTGGCTAGTTGATATCGTCGCGACTAGAAATTACACGGCTTACAATAAAGCCATATTCACTGGAGATTTGTGGCATGTCGCATCGACTTGTTGAAATCATGTATTCTCCATGTCATAGACTTCAATAGCATGCAAAAAAGTCGGTATACGGATCCAAATTGAAGGCGACAGTTGTTCCATTACCAGTTCTGAAGAAGTAAGGTCCAATCACACCTACGGAAAAAAAGCGCAAATAAATAGTGACTTTTCTGGATGTATTGGCATTTCTTCCATTACTTGAAGATTCTCAGAACCCCCAAATACGACAATTTTTTTATTAACGTACCTGGTGTTGGATGATTATATAAATAAATTATCTTCTCCTTAATCCTTAATCACAACATGTGACTGTGCCAGAATCCAAATTTTGAGGTTGGTTTTAATAAAGTTTACGAGTTGTGAGATGAGTGATCCATTTTCATCAGAACACTTTGGACCCGAGATCCCATTCTTTGGCCATTAGATTAGCGGGTTTATGAAATACATATCGAATATAAATCGCTGATTACGATTCAACAAGAAAAAAGTAAAAATATAATAGGATGAACCGAAAACGGCGGTTAAATTTTTTATAAGTTTTAATTAATGAAATTATTTTTGAACGCGTTGTGTAGAGCTATGACCACTGATTAGAAATCATATTTCTAATCATATTTTGAAAATCGATTAAAATGAATCCAAAATGGCGCATCAAATATAAGAATAAACTAAATATTTTATTTATTTGTAGTATTTTAAATCAAATTTTTCATGTATTATGGTCTTAAAACTATGGCATACCCAATTTAAATTTGAATTATAGCTAATTTTCATGAAAAAAGTGCTGAAAATCACCAAAATACAAAATAATGGGGGTTCCGTTTATTTGAGACCTACCCCGAAACATAAGTCAATATTGATAGTGTCAAGTGCGAATATTTCACAGCCAATGATAATTCAAAATACTAAATTACAGCTAAGTTGGTTGAAAACGCAGACAAACATTACGGGGGTACCGTTGTATGGGGGCTTTCCCAAATAGCGGAGCAGAAGTGACAATTTTTAGTAACAATATGTGCTACACAATGCGAACTTAAAATGCCAAATTACAGCTAATTTGGTTGAATGTGAGGCTAATATCTACTAATTTTATCACCAGCATGTAAACGTTAATTACACCCTACACAACTATGTTGTCAGAATATTATAGCTTTGTGCTGCCCCAAGCGTTTCTAACGCCGCGAAATATTGGTCCTAGACCCACCATTAAGTATACCTATCGTCTTATCTCGACTAGCTGAGTCGACCTAGACATGTGTGTGCGTCCGTCCGTCTGTCCATTATAATTTGTAGACACGATACAGGCCACAGTTATGGACCAATCTTCAATGAAGACCCCTATTGTTTTTGGTTAATATTTAGGGGATGATATGGACCAAATATTTAATTTTTGTCGGTTTTTCTGGTCGCTCTAGGGGCCACAAATATGATCCGAACATCGCGAAATTTTACATGGAGAAGAGAATTGGGACAGAGAATATGGATGCTTGCTTTGATAAATATCAGTCATTCTTTAGCGGGTCAAATGGACCCTGACTTTTGTGTGAAAAATGACAAACCTTGTATTCTATGGCGTATATATTTACTCGTGAAGCATATAGATTCGCGAAGTTGATAGTGTATCCAAGAGGAATGGTTGACATTCAAAATGACTCCAATTACAGATGTGGGAATTACACATAAATATTTGCAGGTGCTTACGTATTGAGATATTATTTGGTAACCCATTACGGAAATATAGCGCTGATCCCTTTAAAATTTTCCATGAAGTTCCAATTATGGTCAAAGACAACGCCTATAATTTTCGATGATGATGTGATTAAAATTATGAGATGAAGTGGACCGAAAACTTAATTTTTTGTATGTTTTCTAGTCGAAGGGAATCGGAATAAACATCCGAGTTCCGTGGTAGTTGTGTAGGGTATCGTATGGTCGGCCCGTCCGACTCTACTGCTCCGCTCACTGGTTTTATTTTTTTTATTATCAAATTTTAAAGACTATTTTTATACTATCAGCAATAACTCTTAAATTTATGAAGGGGCGCAAAATTCAGGGCAGAGGATATTTGAAGGCGCCGATTGGTGCTGTAACTATTAAAATATCCTCTGGCACTGCTTGGTACTTGGTTCCTGGTCCATAGTGCAATGCCAGACTTTTGTTTGACAGATGTCGAATTCCAGTCCCATACTTTTGATACTACCAGTCCAATACTTTTTAATTGGAAACCTCTGTATATTTAATATTGACCGATCGCCCTCAAAACACCCATTCTTAATCGCAGGCTGTTCAAGAGTGATGGTAATCTAGAGTCATAAGATAGGCTTCTAATACTACAAATTAAACAGAAGCATTCGTTCTACATTTACCGATTTTTTTAATGCATACACCATTAGGGCATTTATAATCACTACGTGGCTAAATTGAAATCTTTATGATTGATAAATCCGTAACGATTTAAAGAACGAAGAATCATTTGATAGTTATTGGTACAAATCCGAACAGCATTCCCTCAAGTACAAACAAGACAAATAACAGCGGACTTTGTTTGGAAATAAGCATAAGATCTTTAAAATCTCGAAATCGACTTTAATCTATGAGATATGTGACACGAATTTCAATGGCTATATTCTGGTACTTGGTGTAGAAAAGCATCCTCACCCATGCGTATGATTAACGCGGCAAACCATACATGTTATTAGAGCTCATACGCCCAATTAATAGAGCTCATACATCCCATGAACCCGCAGGCTAATAGCCTGCGAACTTAATCTGTTATTTAATATTGTTTTTATTTTAAATTCTCAACTTATAACCCTTTATACCTTTTAGTAGTATGTTTTAAACAGTTTTTTGTGTGTGTGTTTCCTTGTCAAAGCAACTCTTGAAGACAAGTTAGTAATTTAGACCGGTCATTTTTGTTTTTTGTTGCTGCAGCTGTTTGTATATTTTTGCAAGTGTTGTTTTTGTAGCCTTACTTAGCCCCGTACATTTTTTATGATTTCTTATTGGCCACAGAGCCGACATGTTTGTCTGGCTGTGTGTTGACAGTACCACTGTGGTTGTGTTTATTTGACCAAGGGGATTTGTTTGAGTTTGCAGTTCATTCGTTTGTTGGGTCAAATATTTACAATTTATTATTGCAGCAGTATTTAAATTATAGAAAAATATGACAGTTGGCTGGAAACTATAAAAACCAACTTGCTCTAACTGCTGTTTATGTGCTTTGGACGATTTTTTTTTAAATGATGTTAATAATATTCAAATGGACTATTAAAGGTTTTTTTAGAGGTACTAAGGTAAGGATTGTATTAAAGAGAAAATATATATAGGAGGGTAACAAATGGGGAATATGAAGCACTAGAGACACCATTACATTAAATTAAAACCAATGTCTCAAACTCTCAAAAACAGATTACTATCCGGATTTACCTTTCTATAAAGCTATTTTCTTCACTTTCCCAATGTAGTTGTAATTGGTTTGAAAGTAATCGCAAATTGGAGACTATTATGACAGACGTATAAAATAAAGTTCAAAATATGATACCTAAGTTGTTGAGCAAAATGCCCAACTGTATTTTCCTAATTTATTAAAAATTTAATGTTGTGAAAATATTTTTTATGAAAATTGTCAGGTTTTCTACAGAGTAGTTTTGTACACAACTTAATATTAGAAATCCGAATAGCATTAACATAGATAATTGTGGCTAAACCTTAACCTGTTTTGTTTTATAAAAATAATGAAGTTTTTTCCCTTTTTACCTATTTGTGTGTTTATGATTTATATTCCAGAAAATGAAGTGGAAAATTAAACACACATCCATTACTTTAATTTGTCGTGTGTACTTTTTTATTATCATGACTAACACATATACATATACATTGTTTTCACAATCAATGTATCCTTTAATTAACTAAAAAACTTATATCTCGTGTTTTTTGTTTATTTTCCTCTTTTCAGACAACAGAAAATTATGTCAAAACCTGCAACCGCTACCACACCCACTACGTGCTGAATAACAAAACTAAAGCAGGAGGACTGGAATAAAATTTGTGCCACACACGCACACAAAGTATTGGCAACAATGCCCAACTAATCAAAGGGTTTTACAGGTTTGTTTAGCAAATATACCGCACAGCACAGGGAAAAAACACAAACAACAAAGAGAAAAACTAAGAATAAAATCAAACAAAAATCCCAAGTGAAAAAAAGCAAACAAAACAATGGCTTTCATAGTCCATGTTGCAACACAATAGCCTGGACCACTACTAGGTATAAAAAATAACAAACTAAAACCCGACAACCTCATTCTACGCCGCCTACTCATCCACTAACACATGTACAGACCCAACAACACCATCAATGTGGATTATGCACTTTACATGCCAGACTTGCTACAATAATAACTGTAATCGCCTGATATGTCGCCATGGCTCGCAACAAAACAAACGAAATAAAATCGACAGACAAAGTAGCAACAACTACAGCAGCAGTGGTAGTTCCACTAGCATTGCTGGCAAACAATGCATCATTTCATCAGCAACAGATTCGTTCAACGAAGCCCTTCTATCGGCGTCTATATGGACGGAGGCATCATCATCAGCACGCCGATCAGCAGCATCATCATCGAACCTGTTGTGGGACACCAGACAGCCAACACGAACACCAACCGGAGCAGCAGCAACACACACATCCACAAGCCACACCTTCTGCCTCGATAGATGGCATTACCCAAGATATCCCCTATTGTCTGGGAGACGATAATACCGCTCAGAGCATAACACTCTCTTGTAAAGTGAGAAGAAAATCAAAATCTCTCCCCCCATCATCACGTTTCACATTACCCCTGTTCACTGAGTCACTTAAACGTTTTCGAAGTATACCGCTGGTCCAGCTACTGTGGCTACTTTGCTGCCTCAGCAATTTGGTTCACCGCACAATGGCCGAATGTCCCAGCGTGTGTGAGTGCAAGTGGAAGAGTGGAAAGGAGTCTGTTTTGTGCCTTAATGCAAATCTAACACATATCCCGGCCCCCCTGGATGCTGGTACCCAAGCTTTGGATCTCACCGGAAATGAGTTGGCCACCATACCGGATGACACATTCGCGGAGGTCAACCTGCTAAATCTGCAGAAAGTGTATTTGGCCAAATGTCGTTTGCGTCTGATCGAACGTTATGCCTTTCGGGGACTAATAAATCTGGTGGAGTTGGATCTGAGCTTTAATGCCCTGGCCCACATACCATCCGATGCCCTGGAAAGTGTCACTGAACTGAGGGAATTGAAACTGAACGGCAATCCCATACTTGTGGTGGCCAACGATGCCTTTCGACAAATGATGCATTTGGTGCGATTGGAATTGAGCGACTGCCGCATAGAAACAGTAGAGGTTAAGGCTTTTGCAGGTCTAGAATCCAGTTTGGAATATCTAAAACTAGACGGAAATAAACTATCCGAGGTGAGATCCGGTACCATAACTTCACTCACCAATTTACATGGCATTTCATTGTCACGCAACATGTGGAATTGTTCATGTTCTCTGCGGCCGCTGCGGGCATGGATGTTACGAGAGAACATACCCTGTGGAATACCTCCTGTCTGCCAAAGTCCACCACGTCTGGCCGGCAAATCTTGGGACAAAATTGATTTAGATGATTTTGCCTGTGTGCCACAGATCATTGCCACCGATACCACTGCCCACGGCGTTGAGGGACGCAACGTTACGATGAGTTGTTATGTCGAGGGGGTACCCGAACCGTCGGTGCGGTGGATGGTAAAGAATCGGGTGATTGCCAATTTAACGGCGGCAAATGGTGACCAGCCCTCCACTAGCCCACGTACTGCTGCTGCCACACAAGGCCGCAAAACCTATGTAGTCAATATGCTACGCAATGCCTCAAACTTGACCATACTCACGGCGGATATGCAAGATGCTGGTATTTATACATGTGCTGCGGAAAATAAGGCTGGCAAAGTGGAGGCATCCGTAACACTGGCTGTGTCCAGACGTCCCCCCGAGGCCCCTCTGGGCTTCAAAGTTATCCTGCTGTGCATATTCATAGCCTTGCTCTTTGTGGCCGGTTCATCCTTTGGGGCAATCTGTTTTTGCTCGTTGCGACGCAAAAGGAAAATGCGTTTGTGGAATACAGTGCCGCAGGGTCGTACGGAGAGCTATGAAAAAATTGAAATGACTTCGCGTATGGCTGGTGCCGGAGGCATAGGAGGCTCAAACAAACCGGATTTGGGTGGTAAAACGGGCCTACAGGAAACGGGAAAAAGCCCCAACAGCACACAGGGCCAGCTATTCCATGACAATGAAAATGGCTATCTGTGTTCGGCCACCACACCTCTGAATTGCGGCTCGGATGATGGTGGCGATACGGGTGGCGCCATTGTCAATCCAAGCGGTGGTAGTTCAAAGCGTAATGGTGATTATCGCAATGTACCCACCCACTGTGATGACGACGATAATGATCATATGCAGCAGAGTTTGGGCAGCAATTCGGGCGGAGGTTGTGGTGTTGGTGGTGCTGGTCACACATATCAACGCAGCATGCTGCTAACGTCGACAACACACAATAATGGTACGCTAACAACCACCACCAGTACCTCATTAACAACGCCACGTTGGAAAACGAGCTCAGCTTTTCAATCAGCAGGCGGTCCAGATTGCCACCTTTCACATTTGGATCCGACGCAGGCAGGCTTGAAGTCCAGCGGTAAAGAGGATACAGACTTGCATATACCAAGACTCATAGATATTGGGTAAGTGTGTTGAAAGTAGTTGTTTGTTGTGAATTGTTTCAGTTTTTGCTTAAAGAGCTAGAGGAATTTTAATTTGAATTTCGACGTTGATGTTAGGGAGTATTGATGAATTTTCAAAGGATTGTTGTAATTTTGTGTCGCCATACCGGATATATTTACTGGTAGTGGAATTCTGTAAGATTTATTAAATTATTAACGAGTAAAGCCAGCCGATATTATTTTTTGTCAAATATATGAAATTCCAAAAAAAAACCATAATTAGCTTTGACAGATGCATTGATATAATTTTCAATTTGTTTAAAAATTATCCTACAATACACAAAATTTTTATCAAATGTGGTGAACAATATCTTGAATTTTAAAAAATCGTGTTAAAATTGTATTGGATTATCGAATAGAGCAGTGTAACTTTTTAACAACATATATTCTATTTTACAACAATTTCATTTGTTTGTTTTATTGTTTTTACAATAACAAAAGAATTTTAAACAATATCAAATGTTGTTAAAAGTTACAGAATAGGCCTACAGGGTTGATAAAATAAGACGTTTTGGAATTGTGCTTCAATATTCTAAAATTACCACAGCGGAAATATATAGGCATATATAGACTTACTTAGCTGGCTTGTGACAGAGATTTCACTCCATAAGCCGGACTTAAAAAATATTTAAAGGCGCATGGGTCTTTTGCGGAGTTTTGAATCTGAATGACCATGTTCGGAAACGTTGTCTTCCACTTGATCTTTTCATATTATTTGTGGCCTTCCCCATTTGCATGAACGATAAGCAGGTACGCTTTTATATTACTTTTGCGCTAGGACAGACTTTGTGGCGGTACCAAGTTATATAAAGTCTTTGACTACCTCGAAGCAGTTGTTTCAAGTTCCACAGTTTATCTCAAACACTATTGGATGTCTTGCGCTTTGCTAGGTGTTCTCGCCATTTACTGACAGACCCACGTTGGCAGACTCCTTCTCAATTTGTTCAAAGGTGGCTGTTACTGTTCTCAATGTTCGCCCCATTATGGCGATATCGTCGGCGTAGGCGAGTATAATGTGTTGTTTGGATACAGAGTGCCATTTCTGTTCACCTTTGCCTCTCGTAGGACTTTTTCCAGCTGGATGTTAAAAAAGGTTACACGAGAGGTGCCTGAGTCCTCGTTCGTATTAAAGGGCTCCAAGAGGTCATTTCCGACATTAACTGCTGATCTTGTGCCAGTTAAAATTATACTGCATAACCGTATTAATTTTGCAGGCATGCCAAAGGCATACATGGCTTTAAACACCTCTGAACGGATAGGTCTGCCGAATGGGGCTTTATAGTCGACGAAAAGGTGGAATGTGTCGATGTGTTTTTTGTGGATCTTTTCCAGTTATATACGATGGGAAGGAGACTTATTCCCCTATTGTTGGTTTATATTGTATTGTTCTCCTTTCTTTTTTTGTGCACGAGAGAGAAAATCTTCTTTTATCCTTTTTTGTGCATTATTCATTACTGTTAAATTCTTGCCATTTTCCATATCTCTGGAACTACTAAGGCGATTGTAATATTGCTTCAGTATCACCTTTGAAACTCTATAAGAAACCGGTCCTGACCGTCTGTATTATTATCGTATATGCAAAAGGAAACGATATGTACATAGTTCCTTTTGAGAATATGAAAAGGATCACGTTCGTCTGTATGTCCATATTAAATTGTAAATAAAGTCCCATTTATGATCCGAATTGATTGAAATTTGGCACAGGTCCTTTATTTGGCCAAAAGACAGATTTAGATATGGCTCCCATATATAGTTTTGTCCGATGTTAATTAAGTGGTGCACCAAAGACCCAATGTTAGGCCGCTTGCCACAAAATTTTGCACAACGTGCTTAAATTACTATAACATAACGTGTATAAAGTTTTGTTGAAATAGATTTAGATTTGGATATAGATCCCATATATAGTTTTATCCGATGTTAAGAAAATGGCGCACCAAATGCGCCATTTACGGTAGTCTTAAATGTGCCAAGTTTTGAAAGTTTTGAAATCGGTTCAGATTTGGACATAGCTCCCATATATAGTTTCGTCCGATTTAAAGTAAATGATGCACGAAGGACCCAAAATATGAACGAAATACGGAAATTTTTGCACAACGTGGCAAATTTCATTGAAATCGACTCAGGTTTTGATATATCTCATATATATTATCGTCCGATGCATATATATATTCGTTCGCAAATGATGCACCCAACTCCACATATTTCAAAATTCTAATTTTATAGTATTTCTATTTTTATTACAATTTATGATGGTTTGTTCATAATTTTCCTTTACGGAGAAAATAAGTGAGATCTATTACAAATTCCCTAACTCTTATTCCACAACACTAAGAAAGCCGTTTTAAAAACATTCGGGTTTGAAATAAAATTCTTTTCTAAATAATCTAAACCGTTAACTGCATATATACAAGCATATGTGCATATATATACCGTCTTATATAACATTATTATCTCGTACTTGTACTTGTTTTCTATTACTTTGTTTGTTGTTGTTCTTGTAGATTACTTGAAAAATCATGGTACTACTAATCGCACACCGCATCCGCCACTCAATCTCAACAAGAGCAACAGTAAGAGACTCTGTCTCAATCTCAATCAACAATAAAAACCGACCGACCGACAGACGGACATTTGCTAACCCGTCTGTGGCTGTCAACTTGGTCGACGTCTGTGTTTCGTCTCCGTCCTTGTCATCATTTAGTTTACCTCACCACCATCATCATCATCGTCATCATTGTGGTAGAGGCAACCATTATCACTCCGTTGACTTGGCGTTGGATCCTTGCACTCTGCGTGTCACTGTATGAGTGTTTGTGTGTGTGTTTGTGCGTATCTTTTCGGATATGTGCGAACCTTGTTGTGGTGGTGTCTGCTCATAGCCAAAGGTTATGTTCGTATCCTTATATATGTAAGTCTTGTCTTTTGTCTTAACTAAGTGTCTGCTTGTGTCTCTGTGTGTATATATGTGCATATATATCGGTGTGTGCGTGTGTAAAAGCTTCTCTCTTACAATTTGATTGTGTTGATGTCTCTTTGTTAGTGAGTGCCATGTATATTTAGTGCTGTCGCTTTGTTTGTCACACTTTGCTTTTCTTACACCGCTGAACCGCTGTTGTTGTTGTTGTTGCTGGTGCAGTTGCTGCAGCTATTACTGGCTACATGTGTAAGCGTTTGAGTTGTTGCTGCTGCCGCTACTGTTGCTTTTGCTTCTGTATTAGTGGTGCTGTTATAATGCATGTGAATCTTCATTGTTTTTACGTTATTATTGTCTGCTTGTTGTCATCTCTTACATCTCACTTGTATCCACTGCACCAACGCCAAATACCAACAACAAGAACATCTGCATTTGCAACAAACAAATGCTACTACAACTACTTGGATAGTGTAGTTTTATTCTGGTGCCCTTGTTGAGATTATTATAGCTTATACTTGACACTTTTTTCACAGTTATCGCTATGTATGTATATTTGTTTCAAGTGTTCACCTTCCGTTTCCGCCTGCCCATACATACACACACACACGGCCACACAAAAACACGCTCGAACACACACTACACTGGCACTTTCTCATATGCTCGGATTCATTGAGTCGGTCTCGGGCTGAAGTGTTGTTTCCCATCATCTTCAACTGTTGTTTCTTAGCCAGTCTTTGTAGCTGTTGTCCTTTGGTTTGTTGTCGCTGCTGCTGCTGTTGTTGTTGCCTCCAACAACACACAAAAACAAAAGAAAGCATACAACTAAAAACCAAAGAAACACTCACTAATGATGTGCAAAATACTAGAAGGGGGATTTCTGCTTCACACCGTCTCCAGCTGCTGCAGAATCTTTATCTTTTTGTCGTCGTTGTTGTCGCCGTCTTGGTTTTCATTTTCTTATAAATTCGAGAGTCTTTGGCAATAAAAGCGTGTATGTGCTTTCTTAACAAAAATATCTATGTTGCATGTTAATGTACATGTGTATGTGTGTTGTCATGTTGCTTGCGTTTTTTTGTCCTCTCAAGGACTTGTGTTGTACGGCACACATAAACAAACCCCTTGCTTGCGGATATGACAAACAAGCAAAGCACTCAAACACAAACAAACCTATTTGAATCTATTATATCCTCTTATATTATGAAACAAACACTTCTCCTGTGTAGCTGTTTGTATGTGTGTGTGTGTGCGAGTGTGTCCTCCTTGTTGTCCTGCCTTTCATTAGTTATTCATTTTTTTGTTTGTGATGCCAAACAATTCATTTTAAAGGATTGTCTTTCCTAGGACGTGATACATGTGGGTGGTTAAAGAATTCGGGAAAATTCAGAGGACACACTTTAAAATAAATATTGGTTTAAAATTCTTTTTATGGTAGAATTATAAATCCCTTCACCACACTGTGGTACAGGGAATTACGTTTTTGTGCATATGCTTCTAACATTCAAAAGGAAACGAGATAGACCCATAGTTCCTTTTCTCAGTCGATTTATGCATGTGTGTCCCTCCATCCGTCCGTATGTTAGTATTAACTTGCAAACAAAATATTCTGATATCTACTGTCAAGAACTTGACCGTTTGAAGATAGCAATAGAACAGAAACGGCCAGAATTTGCCAACAGGAGAGGTGTCGTGTTCGATTCATCTAAGCTCTCAATTTCACACACATATCTTTTTGCATGTGTTTCTAACACGCGAAAGGAAATGAGATAGACCCATAGTTCCTTTTAAGAATATGCGTAGAATCGTTTTCTGAGTCGATTTATGCATGTACATCCCTCCTTCCGTCCGTATGTTGGTATTAACTTGTGAACAAAGTACAGGTCGCATTTATAATCCAGATTGGGTGAAATTTGGTACAACTCATTTATTTGGCCCAAAGACAAAACCTATTACTGAAAAACGCTTCAGATTTAGATATAGCTCTCATTTACAATTTCGTCTTATTTTATGTAAATCGGCCAATAAATCTTTCGGAGAATTGTTCTCTCAAACACTGCCTCATCTGCTTGCGCAAGTTCCCATGCTTCAGATCCATATAACAGCACGGGTAATATCAGCGTCTTGTAGAGTGTGATTTCGGTCTGGCGAGAGAGGGCCTTGCTTTTGAGTTGCTTACTCAGACCACAGTAGCATCTGTTGGCCAACACTATTCTCCTCCAGATTTCAAAACTGATGTTATTAGTTTTGTTATTGGCGGTACCGAGGTAGTTTTCAAGTTCCACAGTTGGTCCGAGTCTACTGGACGTCTTCAGCGTTGATACCATCAGCTTGGTCTTTTCGCCACTATTTTTTTCTAACTTTTTCCTTATAGTTTTTAATATGTGAATGATTCGTCTTAGCCATCGGATTCTTCTAGAGGATCTGAACACAATTACGGTCCCAATTTTTTTTGAAAATTCGTTTAGTACCTTCATGCTAAAGCATTGACCTCTTTAATTTTTTTCTGTATGGGCCTTTGTTGCCAATTAGAATCCTAAATTCTTAATTACAGACCTTCAGTTGTAAAATGGTGGAATATTGGTGAGGAAATCATAAATGTACGTTTAGTACTTCCATACTCTCATCCTGAAGATTAATGTGTCTTATCAATCTATCTGCCTTATCCATCTGTCTGGCTGGGGCACACGATAATTCACAAAGGGAATAATAGATTTGGTCCAAGCTTGGGCATCGTAATATTTTTTCCAAATCTTGTTCGAAGAGTGCTAATATCGGTCCTATGCTTCTGAGTTTTCACCCCCTACTGTGTTGTAAAATATATTGATAAAAATTAGTAAAAATGTCATGTGAACGTTGAGAAAAAAAATTCTTTTTGAAGATGAGGCGTATCGGCCCACTGTTAAAATCTGGATGAAGTCGCCCATTCACCACAGAACTACTTTAGATATTGAATAATATTAATGTTATCCTTGAGCCCGTCTCCGCTGAGGAAAATACTTTGTATTAAGCTTAACCATTCATATCTGACTTTGGATCATTTAGTCTCTCCTAGAAACGAACCATAAATCCGTATATACATTTTTTGGAACGAGGAAACATGACTATATTCTGCTTGATTATATTCATGCTAATTTTGTAAGGATCTTCCCCACGCCTAACAAATTACCCTCGTTTTTGGACATGATTAGTGTGCATGTTGGCTGTTGTGGTATGAAACTAAATAAGTTTGCAAATTTTCTCTAATCCATTTAATTTATGTGCTCCATTTCCACACTCGTGCTCTGGATAATCCCTTAGCATGAATATATAAACAAACAACAGAACGAACGTACGTTCGAACAAAAGATGGCGACAATTTGGGATAAGGGTAATTTCACCGCAGCATCTTAACATTTCAAGAGTTATCTTGTGTTTGCATAAAACTTTCTTTGTTTTTCGTTGTTTTTTATTATACATATATACTATGCTTCAGTGTTAACAGCTTTAAGTCTAAAATGATAATTAAGCAAAGAATTAGATACGACGACGGAGTGGCCGTTAAGAACTCATTGCGTAAGACTTCAATTTAAATTAAAAAATTTATTATCTCTTTTTTACAGATCTACACCAGAAACTGGTTCCGTTTCAATTTCCGGCAAAGTAGATGCAGCTTCACGTCAAACGTCATCGGGTTACAATCATGTGGCGAATTGGGTAACATCCTCGCTGAGTTCTTCGGCGAAAATGTCCGCGGCGAATCACAGCGCTTTGAATAATAATCATCAGCCGAGCAGTTTGGATTATTACAGTCCCAAAGACGATGTGAATTCGTCGGTGTTTTGTGGCAAAGAAACTTCAGATAACGATTTGTTTGATAGCAACTATCCCGACCTTCTGGATATTGCCAAATATGCCGTTGCCCAAGCTACCAGTGCCAGCCAGACAAACGGTGGTCTCTGTACCCTGCCAAGAAAATTGAAAAATACCGGTAAATATTTTAAAAATTCCTCAGATAGCCAAAGTCCGCTGCTGGCGGATAATTCTAGTAAGTATGGCAGCAGTACATTGGGCGATGCTGGCTACTTAAATGAAGTTGCATTGGGTAGACGATTTTCCGCCGAATCTTCCTATTCGAGTTATGGTGGACCGGTAACATATACCAAGGGTCAAAGATCGAATAGCTTTTTGAATCTTGTACATAGTTCGAGTAAAAACGCCTTGGCAAATGCGGCCGGCAACAAGGCCGCCGCCATAGCCAATGCAATGGGAACAAGAAAAAATCCCAGTCTACCCTCCTCACCGGTACATGACTATCAACAGCAACATCAGCGATCTTTAAGTTCGGCTGCAACACCGTTGCTGGACTTCTCCACTATCGCCAGTCGGACGGGTGTAACAAATGCTCCAGCTGGTACACCTAGTGGTATGAGCAGCTCAATGCACTGTGGAGCGAATACAGCGCCCGTGACAGCTTATGACTATCACGCAGCCCAGTTGGAACGTTTTCTCGAAGAATATCGCAATCTGCAAGATCAACTTTGTAAAATGAAAGAAACCTGTGACACAATACGTAAAAAAGAAGTCCCGCTGCGAGTGGGCCTAGGTCATTCGGCCCATGCAGCCGATCCTGTTATGTATAATGCTGCTCTGGCTGCTGCAGCCAGCAGTCCCACCACCAATCCAAAAATAACACTAAAAACCAAAGCAACTCTACCCGGACAACCACCGGATCCGCCGCCATATTGGTTACATCGCAATGCCATGCTGAAGAGACTAAATGAACCGCAGAATGATATTTTCAAAAGCTAATGAATATCAGGTGTACAGTTATCGTTACAATTAAGTCAATTTACGTTAAGATCAGAGAAAAGTTGTTGGTTTTAATTCGCAATTTTGTTTTTTATAACATAAATTTCAATTTTGAAAAAAAAAAACTCCCTTCCCTCCATTATAATGTATACACATTCTGAATATAGATATTACCATCCTTGTCATTAAATGTAGATTTTGAGAAAACTTTTAGTTCCTCTTTGCTAGATCAAAAACGAAAAAGAAACCAAAATCAATACCAAAAAAAAACACACGAAACAGAAGAGAAACAAAATAAAAAACGAAGAAATAAATATTCACTATCCCAAAGGGTGGTGAATGTCAAAGCAAAACTCGCATTCATATAGCTAAGCTTCAGACCATATAACACTCATACATACTACACATATAAACACATATCTACAGACAACTACATATCTACAAAATATTTACATAAATATTATACAAATTTAAATTTACTTACAGAAAGTGATGAATAGAAGTTATGTATTGATGTGGGGAGTGGTAGGTATCTACTGACATCATGCCATTTTTTGGAGTATGTGGCGCCAAGTGACCTACATATGCCCTTGTTTCAACTTGACATAATTTTCGCTTGGTCGACAATGAAGTATTGAGTGACATAAATTAATTTGTAATTAATTATATACACATGTTCACACATACATATACTTGAAAATTGTTCATATTCAAAAAGTGTTAATTTGTTACCATTTATAACTCGTACCCCACAAGGATACAGTTTTCACACAATATTCCTTACCAAACGTTTTTATTAAAAATATATTTTACATTTTTATTCTCCAGCACGATCTATATTAATTATAATGTAATCAGATAATTGCAGAAGCACATTTTTAAGATTCCTCAGAATTATGTTTTTGAGATGCCTCAGTCGGAGTCTTGAATACTTCAATAGCAACTCCTGGCGTCTCAAATCATCGACAAATCATTTTTTCTTAATGTGTGGGAATAAAAAGATTTCACTGGTAGTCAAATCAGGGCTATCCATCGGGTCAACATTCCACATTTTGGCTGGCCATACAGGCGCTGGTATTACCCAATGTTTGATAGCTCATATTATCCTCTTCTGTTGTTTTTTTTTTCTAAATTCTCTGAGGAGTCAGGAAAGTTGCCATATAACCAGTTTGGCCAAAGAAATGGACGAATACCAGCTTCGAGCTGCTACTTCCACGGACAATTTTATTCCTGTTTCGCACACAGTAGTTTGCTGGCAAGTTTAGAAGTAAGGTGATCGATTTTTTAATTTCGTAGCGATGCGAGTATTTTTTAAAACAATTGATACATTGTGGGATATCCAAAGACAACAATCATTTTTTACGACCAGGTATTCTGGATGTATCCTGATAGAAAAAATTGCACAACAATGCAACTATTTTGCGGTATGGCACATTCACCAGAATTCACCGACAAGAGAGGTGTCGTGTTCCACCTGGACAATGCTAGGCCACACACATCTAAAGTGACTCGCCAGAAACTTTGGGATCTTGGTTGGGAAGTTTTAATGCATTATCATTTTTTTCTTGCATTACAAAATTTCTTTAATGATAAAAAATTGGTATCTAGGGAGGAAAATCGAATACTAGAGTTTTTTGCAAATTTAAAGCGGTACTTTTATGAGAGAGGCATTATGAAGTTACCTTTAAAATAGCAACAAATGGTATTTTCCACATAAAGGTATCCCCAGTATTCGACATATTGGACACGTTTTTCAACCTATTTAACTGTAAATTGGTATTTGCAATTCTCATTGGGTTTCAAAGCTCACCACAAAAAGTGTTGATATTGACCCAAGTTTCTGAGTAGCTCCCATATCAGGGTATCCCCAATTGTTGTTCTTTTTTAAATTTTGGACACGAATTAGCAGCCAAATTGATATTTGGTATTTTCATTGCTTGTGAAATTTCACAACCAAAAAATGTCATTATAGATCCCCGTTTTGGTATTACCCCATATACCGGTCCCCCAGGTATTTTGATAATTTAAATAATATATTCCCCAGATATTTTTCTGTATGTTCAAGGTCCTATCATAACGTGAGTTTTGTCCTAGGAGGGACAGCTTAAACCATTTAAGAGTTTTGTAAATATAAATTCTACAATACTTATAAATATTTTCCCTCCATTAGCTTCTATACATCACTTGATTTAATATTGTTCCCCCAAACATTAGCATTTACACTTACCTACAATGAAAATATATACACATACATACAAACATAAACAACAAACAATGTAATCGAATGTATTATAACTTAATATACATATATACATAAAAAAGGAAACTTTTTTCTTAATTATATAAGGAATAAAAATATATAAATAAAAACAAAAATTTTTTCTCTCTTACCAATCTTTCTATCGCTCTGATCCCTCTCTTTATAGTTGTATAAGATAGCTAATAAGCAAAAAATATACCAACAGACAAAGACACATACATTCCATCATTATAATAGAATACAATTGTATAGATTTCATACACATACACACACCTAAACATGTTTCCTTCTTCATAATACATACATAAGGCCCAAGGTAAATATGTATAAATAAAAATAAAAATTTTGTAGATTTGTTAAGATTGAGGTGGAAGATATTGTTCGATGTAAAAACTAATCATTTATATCCTTTTGTAATTCCCCTGAAATTTAGCCTTGTCTTACTTTTTTCATTTCCTAAGCCTTTCTAGGAAAGGTATTTAAAAAATATCTACTATCAAATATTTTCAATACCAGTATGTTAAGTGGTATTCAGTCAATAATTCAATGTATAAAATAAGATATTAAATCAAAGCCAAAGGAATTTCCATTGAAAAATTTTACCACTTTTAAAAGGTCAGTGTGATAGTAATCTCAAATGTCAACTCTGTTGAATCCAGAACCGTATCTCATCTCAAAAACAAAACAAATAACCTTATTTTTTCATTAATTGTTTTCTGGCTTCCCCTTTTGTAAACTTTTTGTACTCTGTAGTTATATCTAAATCCAACTACTAAATAAGTAAATATGTATCAAAAAAGAAAGTGGTGAGAAAAAAACATTGATAGTATATACATATATCCTAAAAATAGTATAAATGGAAACTTAAATATGTTGGGAATTTCATTTGCATGACAAAAAGTAAACAGAAACGAAAACATGTTTATGATACAAATTCGCAAATAATTATAATAATAGTGAAGCGGAAAAGAAGAAGAACAAGAAACAAATATTTATTATTAAAGTGTATTTGTATTTATATTAGGCATAGTATACAAAATTAACTAATTAGTTAAGCATACTATATACGATGGACAAATTCAATTATCAAATAATATGGAAACCAAAAATTCAAAATTATATAATAACAACAACAAAAAATACAAAAGAAAAACTCAAACCAAAAAAAAGAACAATTGAATTGAAATAAAAACTTAGTTAAAAAATTAACTTATTTTTGGTGTTTCAGTGATAATTATAATTGATTATGGATGAATGAGGTTTGTATACAAATACATAAAAAATCTCTTGTTCTTAATGCTAAATGTTATTACCTGAATCAATAATTCCCTACAATGTCTGTACAAAAGTGAACTAGAAGTCTTGATGATAACCCTGTGCGGGAACGATCTTGGTCAAAGATCGGTGAAGCACTTCAAATGGTGGCCAAACCAGGACTAACGGGCAGGAAGGTTCTGCTATGCATTTTGTGGAGCTGGAAAGGGAGTTATTATGACTTGCTTCCATATAGCCAAACACTAAATTCTGATTTGTACTGCCAACAACTGAATATTTTGAAGATAGCAATTGATCGGAAATGGTCATCAGGAGAGGTGTTGTGTTCCACCAGACAACACTAGGCCACACACATATACAGTGAACCCCCAGAAACTTCGGGAGATTGTTTCTAAAGTTTTAATGCATCCGCCATACAGTCCGGACTTAGCACCAAGCGATTATCATTTTTTTCTTGCATTGCAAAATTTCTTTAAAGATAAACAAAATAGGTATCTAGGGAGGATTGTGAAAATCGACTAGATTTTGTTGCAAATAGAGAGCATTACGTCTAGGAGAGAGGCATTGTTACCTTTAAAATGGCATGAAGTTACCTTTAAAATGGCAAAAAATCATACAACAAACCGGTGCATATTTGGCCCAAATTGGGCATTCCTAATCATTTTAAATAATTTTCCCCCAACCTAATATATTCTGGATCAGCGAAAAATTCTATGAGGATCAAAGCATCTCCGTCTGTCTGTTTTAATCACTCGAATTGGGATAGATCGCCAAAATTTTGCATAAAGTCGTCCTTTTTCTGCAGGCAGGTCAAGTTTTAAGATGAGCTCTATCGGTCCAGTGTTACCAATTTAGCACTTTTAGTGCTAGATTTAGCACTTTTATTCTTTTCTGGTATTAGTAAAAAATTTTGTAAAATGAAAACCCAGATTAAGTGGGCTTTTGTATGGGAGTGATGTAGAAATCATGAATCTAAATCGGAAACTTTCTGGAAAGGAGTTTTTTATTCACCATGAATCCGGAATGGAAATTTATATCCACTTCAGAGTACCGAAAATGTGTCGCGTTCCACTTGGTCGCGTTCCACTTATATATCAAAAGATGGACCTACATCAAAAAAGTTCAGCAAACATATTTTTAAATTACAGACAATTCGGCGGAAAAAGGTTCTAAACTTTAAAAGTGGGCAAGGATATGGGGTATATGTCCAAACACATACCTATGTAGAAAATTGTCCGCAAAAATATATCCTACTCTACAATAACTACAAAGCAAAGGAGATAGATCAGTACTTTAATATGAGGACTATGTGCTAACCTTCACCTTGACAGTTTTTTGCATATATGTTCTCTAGGCCTACCCCGAAACATAGACTCACATTGATATTTTTTGGTGGGGAAATTTTTACCTAATGAAAATCCAAAATATCAAATTACAGCCAATTCTACTAATTTCTCTAATAAAACTTTTAGCACTTTTGTTTGTCACCTTTTTAAATTTCTGCCACTTTTTTGAAACTTTGTTAACAACAAAGTTTTGGGAACACTGG